TAGACCCTAAAACCTCAACCCTAAACCCTTAACCCCGTAGTCTAGGGTTTAGGGTTTGGAGTTTAGAGCTTAGGGTTCAGGGTCGAAGATTTGGGCTATGGTTTGAGATTGAGGTTTCAGGCTTTGGCGTGTCGGGTTTGGGGTTACAGGTATAAAGGATTTAGGGTTTAGGGTTTGGTGTTTAGAGTTTAGGGCGTTGTTGCATAGACCTTTGGCGCTTTGCTCACGGTCGAGAGAATGTTGAAAGGGTCGCCGAGTAGAGTGTCGGTCGCCCAAATTCTGCACACCTAAACCCTAAACCCTAAACCCTAAACCCTCCTCAACCTCTGCGAACCTGCAATGAATTCACCTGAGCCCGACACATTTATGCAGTCGGCAGTATCCCCTTCAGAGTACCCTCGGCGGAGCCTGGACGTCAAGCCAATCTTTCGGTTGAGTACCGTGTGAAACAGCTTCGGAATGACGTTCGGCTCTATTTTGAACACGCAGAAGTTTCGGTGTGAAGGTTTCAGGAGTTTAGCAGTTGTTCGGTTTCGGCTCAGAATTTGGGGGCCTGTGGATGGAGTTTCGAGGCTTTCAGGACGGCTGCTTCAGTCTTGACCGGATTTTCATTGCCACTTTTTTGCCGGTTCGTGTCAGAGGAAATGTGGGGCGTGACGGAGCAGAACGCGTTACAGTATACCGTTGCAGTATATAGGGTTTAGGCCGTGTAGGCCTCAATCGTCCGGTTGTAGATGCGAGTAGCTGATTCGTGTGTGATTTCTGCGAGGATTATGTCTTGCGAATCTCTAACCCTACTTGTATCTAGCCCTAAACCCCAAACGCGAAGCCCTAAATCCAGAGCCCTAAAAAGTTGCAAGCCGCCTGGGCCAGGCCGGGCTGCGGCAGCATCTCCGCCAGTTCAATCACTGAGCTGAGCTAAGGATCCGGGAGGGTGTGGTGCAACAGCCGCAATCCCTGAACCCTAAACCCTAACAAGCCTAAACCGCAACCCCGACACCCGAAACCCTAAACCCTAAACCCTAAACCCGAAAGCCTGATCCCGAAAACCCTAAACCCTAAACCCCAAACCCTACAAGCCCGAAGATGGCTTCTAGTACACCCCAGAAAGTTGGAAACCGGATGAACGACAATTCGTGCTGGGATTCCATAGAGATTGCTCTTACGGATTGAGGCTATTGGGTTTCCAACTTTTGGGCTTCTACTATAAGCTGAAGCCCTAAACCCCTAGGTTTTCAACTGTTGGGCTCCTAAACCCCTAGGTTTTCAACTTTTTTGGGCCTCTGCTGTATCTCCCGACCTCCAACATTTTCCTTTTTTCCGATCTTGGGGTTGCGGCTGCATCCAGTGCGCGGACAGCTGGCGCGTGCGGTGAAAATGGTGAAGCCTGGACAGGATTGGGCTCGGGTCTTGGAGTAATGTAGGGGCCTAAATAAATACCAACATGATCTTGCGGGTTCCTTTTAGAGTTATAGTATAATATACCCCAAAACCCTATTCTAAATCTTAAGGCCCTTGCATTATGTCGGAACTCGTTACGGTCCACTAGGCCAGGAACTCGGAAATCTAAAGTACCCTCAGTGTTCGTGCTTGAAGCATGTCCCGGCGTAGTAAGACTTGAGCGCTGATTTGGATGATTTGGAATAGGCTACGGTCACTTTGACGGCGCATCGTTTTGCGGCTGCCAGATACCAGTAGGAGTAGAAATCGGGTAGCTTAGCACCACCGCCATCGTCATCGTCACCCTCGCCACCATCATCCAGATGGAAGTAGCCAAAATATTGCTACTTCACCCTAAACCCTAAACCCTCAAACCGTAAACTGTTGTTCGACCCTACCGCAAATCCTCATTCTGACCCTCACTGGGCCAAATCCCTAAACCCTACGTGCACCCCCCCCCCCCTACCCCCCAAAAAAATGCAAATTAGTGTTTACGGACTTCTGTAAAGAAGTCATAGCGAGGAGCCCTGAAAATGAAGGGTTTAGCCCTAAACCCTATAAACCCTAATTCCTAAACCCTAAACCCTAAAAGGGTCCAGATGAGCCCTGAGCCCTTTCGAAGGTAGGAGTCGACGAGATGCTTTGGGATGACATGCACAAGAATGCGACTTGGAAAGATGTCAGGTTAGGGTTTAGGGGTCAGGGTTGAGGGTTTACATAGGGTTTAGGGGTTGGTGTTTAGAGCTTAGGGTTTAGGTTTTAGGGTCTTGTGTTTGAAAGATGTCAGAGAGTTGCATCGATGGGTCTTGGACCTGCACGGTTTAGGGTTTAGGGGCCTGAGTGCATGAACTCATATAGTTTATACTTTGGCCTGAACTTAACTTTATGTCCCAAGTATGTACTCTGCGGGTCCATCCATGTTCCCTGGATCCATGGCTTTTTTTGAGCGTTTCAGCTAGTGTGGCTCTGTGCATGATGGTGAAGAAGATGATAATGAAGTGGGTGAGGTCGTCATAACCATGGCGCGTGAAGAAACCACGACTACTATGATAACTGCAGTGATGTTAATGTTGTTGTTGTTGTTGTTGGTACACACAAAAACAGGGGCCCGTAACTTATGTTAATTACAATCATTTGGGAATGCTTCCGGCGACCGCAAAGGGCACCTGTACAGTTTTGGGGAATGCAAGCCATGGTTTACACAGCATCGGCCCCAGGATAGAAATGCTGCGTAGGCTGGGTGGTTGTTGTA